TTTTTTTTTTTTTTTTTTTTTTTAAATGTGCTGATGTTTGAGCTGAACGCTTTCGGTTTTCAAAAACCAGAGTAAAGAATAATTACAAAGAGCAAGGAATAGGGGTGGCCCGGAGCAAGGGACACAGGTAAAATCCTAGAATATGCCGGTAGAGCAAGGGACACAGGTAAAATCCCAGAATATGCCCGTTTGTACTTTATGAATAATTTCGACTTCTACTACCTGGTAGGCCTCTCTTCCCGGACCCTGGGGATGAGGACCTACAGAGTCAAATGTGGTCTTGCTTTGACGCTAAATTGCCCCTCCCTGGGAGACAGGATTTGGATAGACCAATCATGGTAGAGGAGCTCTTTTAGACCCTGAAGAGTATGAGGAAAGGTAAGTGCCCAGCTAATGATGGCCTCCCCATGGATTATTGCGTCAGGGTTTTGGTCAAGATTTTTGGAGATATCGTGGAGGGGAGATATCTGGAGGGTCAAGACCTAGGGGAGGAGATGAGGTTGGGCTCAATTTCCCTCCTTTACTCTTTCAGACCCTGAAGAGTATGAGGAAAGGTAAGTGCCCAGCTAGTGATGACCTCCCCATGGAGTATTACGTCACCTTGGTTCAGGTTTTGGTCAATATTTTTGGAGATATCGTGGAGGGGAGATATCCTGGAGGGTCAAGACCTGGGAGAGGAGATGAGGTTGGGCTCAATTTCCCTTCTTCATAAGAAGGGGGACGAGAAACATTAGGAATAGGCGTGACTTATTTCTTGATTAAACCGCTAGTACACGGCCCCAGCCTTGCAGAAAGTTTTTGTCGCCACAAGAGGTGCTGCGTGGCCAGGGGCGCCGTTGAAATAAGAAATTGGCAGCCTCCGAAGTGGTGAGGGTTTCATGCTGACGCACGCCGGCCGGTGTATGGTGTAATGGTGCTTTAACACCTAATATAAGCTCCTTGCCAAGACAATGGCTAATAAGTTGACACGATACCTACCCGCCTTGGTGAGTGAGTAACACGTGGGGTTTGTGCAAGGAAGGAACATGCTGAACATGCTCACAATAGAAGCTCTAGAGTCTATGAAAGAAGGCCGACCAGAAGCAGTGGCCCTGTTGTGCGACCACCCTTGAAAAGCCAAAGGTGCATGACAGGGTCAACTGCGACTTTGTAGTAGTTTGTACTGGACACTCTGAAGATTGCAGGTTTTGGAGAAATATCTAGATGATGGGTACAGGCCCTTTACACCAAAGGTCTAGGCAGGGTCATGGTCAAGAGGAGAAGTCTCAGTCTTCCCCCCTGACTCTTATCACTTTTTGTCCTCCAAATGGAGGTCCTTTTATCCATGATCAGAAAAGAACCTGATATTTAAGGTTTACAAGTAGGTCAGGGAAAACAATATAAGGCTTCGGCCATAGCTGACGACTTGTTTGCTTTCTCTGCTAACACCCAATCTTCGATGGCAGCCCTTGAGGGCTGCCTAGATACTTAGGCAAATTCTCTGAGGCTCTTGTGAATTGGTCAAAGTCAGTTGCAATTGTAGACCAAGATACTAATCTGGCAGTGGACTGGGGGCTGAAATGCCTCCCCACAGAGGCACACTTGCCCCGATGCTTTTTGCCCTCCAAATGGAGGTCCTTTTATCTATGATCAGAAAAGAACCTGATATTCAAGGTTACAGGTAGGCAGGGTAAGCAATGCATGGCTTCGGCCATGGCTGACGACTCGTTTGCCCTCCCTGCTAACACCCAATCTTCGATGGCAGCCCTTAAGGGCTGCCTATATACTTACTCCAAATTCTCTGAGGCTCTTGATAATTGGTCATTTACTTCAAATGCTCTGAGGCTCTTGTGAATTGGTCAAAGTCAGTTGCAATTGTAGGTCAAGATACTAATGTGGCAGTTGACTGGGGGCTGATGTGCCTCCCCACAGAGGATTGTGAATGGTTTTTGGGTGTGCAGCGCGCTGTGAACAAACCAGTGGAAACCGGTCCTGCCTGCTCCTCGCCCGTCAATCGGCCCTATCCGATGGTTCACGCACATTTTCACGCCGAGTTTCGGTGAAGCGCATTGTGGCCAAACTCAACAGGGTGGCTACCCTGAAAGGTACCTCCATCGAAGGACAGGGCCTCTGTTAGAACACATCTGTTTTCTCCCTGGCATGGTAAAATTAAATCCATGTCCATTCGGTAATGTGTGGAAGTGTACAGACGATGAAAATGTGGGCTATCTAGCTAAGGTGGCTTGGAGGAAGGTAATTGGGGACAAGGACAATGGGGGTCTAGGAATTCTGGACCTGGAAGCCCAGATTAATGCCTTGCTGGCCAGGTGGGTGGTGAAATTACTGGCGAGAAGGTGTGTATGTGGCTTTGCTAACCCCCTTCTTGGTCAAAGCTCATATTAAATCCCCTATTTGGAATGGCATTCTCACGGAATTGGATCCATATTAGAGCCGTATTATGCCTTCTCAACTGGAGAATCCAGAAACTAGAGAAGCTGTGCTGGGTCAGCGTATTTTCAAAAATCCATCACTAGTGGATCAGGGAGGGCTGGCTTGGTCAGCTGCCGAGCTCCCAGGGCACTTTGGCAGGGCATGGATCCAGAGGGGGGTATCGAGAATTGTTGATATCTGGGACGCGGACTCAATGCAGTGGAGGTTCCCCCTCGAACTCCGCGTGAAGCTGCACCATCTCAGGGAGGTCCCCGAAAGGCTACATTTAATTATAGCAAGCATCCCTGAATCTTGGAAAGAAAACTTGAAGTATCCCCTTCAAGCATATGAAGGACGTTGGATTACGCAGGGGGACCAGAGGGACGACACTCAAATCTGTAAAATCCAGATCCTGGTTTAGGGGCAGGATGCAGTGGCTACACCCTGCTCCCTGGAGCCTGCGCAGTACGGTCCTATGCTATGAGTTATTCCAGCTGAGGAACAGGTTCTCCATCTAAAGCTATTCCAGCAGATGAACAGGTTCTGCACCTAAGTTCAAGACTATCTACAGAGGTGGTTAGGAGCAAGCAAATTAACAAGGATCAGGTGGAACATCAATGTCCACTGGGTGTGGAGACAGCTCATAGACTGCCCACTCTGGCCCTCCATTAGGGTTGGTCAGAGAGACACGGGCAAAAAGACACCTTTGCCTGACTACAGGCCCAAAGTGGGGTATAGGGAGCAGGTGAGGTTATTTGCAGTACCCCTAGAAATAAAAAGTAAGTGGCTAGGGGAAGCAAGGGAGAGGCCAAGTCATGTAACTCAGATTTTTTTGGCCTCTCTCGGAAAGCTGTGGAGAGATTTGTGCAGAATCACATCAGCAAAGATGTCCAGCCTAACTTGGCTGCAGTCACACAGAGCTGTCCCCACGGCCAAGTGGCTGTCAGCCAATAGAATGGACATAGACGCGACGTGTTGTTGCCGCAGAAAGGAGGTGGAAACCACCATCCACCTTTGGTGGGATTGCATTGAATCCAAAAGAATATGGTTTTGGTGGGAGAAACTCTGGCAGAAACATGGAGACGTCCACATCAAATGGGAGGAGCAGTTTGTGGTTGAAGGGATCCTAGGAAACACAGATGTCGTGGGTCGAGGTTGGTGCCACGTGGCTACTGCTTGTCGAGCTGCAATCATGTTTGTAATCTGGTCGCTGAGAAACCATAGGTTATTCAGGCGGAATATTTTTCTGTCATTTATATAATGGATCAGGTGTTATCGAGCATCAGAGCGCTCGTTTGGGCGGATTGGAGAAGAACGGACAGGGCACAGAATAGGAGGAATGCCAGAAGTCATTTCTTAGAACTTGGGGTGAAAAAGTCAGAATGCTGAAGTCTACGGTGAGGGGGATCTGTATTGAACCTTGGTTGATGGGCCCGAGACCCCTTTAAGATGTTTTCGGTTAAGATCCCAAAGGCCGCACTGCCCCCCTGGATCCCGTCCCGCTTCCTTCTCGATAGACTGAATAGCAGACATATGAAGACACACGTGGTACACACGTGGTGCTCCTGGAACGTATAGAATCCTTCCTGGGATTATAGAACCTGATCAAAGGAAAGATTAATCTAGCAGCTGTGCAGGACTTGGTAGTGCTCGACTCCTTTCTGGCACCCTCCGGTGAAGAGGTTGTGCACCTAGCTAGCGTTGGTGGATACCTGTACTGGAACTTTGGTTAACTTTGGTTTAATTGCTTTCGTATAAGGGACACTGGACCCAAATTACCAGCAGGTGCAGCTCCCCACCAATAGAATGGAGTCATCACACAGGTCCACCTCCCATCATCAGGGGCACACACACCTCGGTTGCAGAAGAGGACCAACAACAATGATTAAAAGGGGGTGGGGTGGGGAAAGGCAATGAAAACGGGAAACGAAAAAACAAAATCCTTTGGAGGATCTTTCTATTCTGACGTTTCCATTAAACCACCAGTGCCTTTCCCTGCTTGAAAAACGAAGGCCCGTCGGTTAACACGGGAGGCGGGCAGGCTCGGGACTACCGGCTCGAAATGGCTGGTGGCGCCAGCCAAAATGAGGCCCGCGCCGGTGGCACGCAGTGCAGTTTTAGGCTTGGCATCGATAGCTGAGAAAGGTACTGGTGGTTTAAAAGGATGATCCTAGGCAACATTGGAATCATCATCTGACCAAAGGGCCTAGCTCAGTTGGTACACCCACGAACTGTTGAAATATGGACCCGAGTTCGAACCCTGTTACAATCAGATGACCAAAATAAAATCATTCTGAATTATCCAGGGCCGGTCGGCTCAATGGTGTCGAGGCCGTCACTCTTTTCTAAAAAAAGGAGGTGAAAGAACAAGGACGGAAAGAAAAGAAAAAAAAAATCATGATCTGGATCGGCTGGTGAGGGACATGCGGAGTCCTCAACAGAGACATGATTGCTGGTCTGCCACAAAAGAGGTTTCAAACCAAAAACAAACAAACGAACAAACAAACTAACAAACAAACAAAAGAAAACAAAGTCCTAAATCACATCTTTGCACAAGGGGCAATTGCACAGTCTGTGAGGGCTAACCGAGACATGTCTATTGCCAGTTGAAAACTAAATTCCAAACCCCCTCAGGGGCCCCAGAAAAAAAAAAAAAAATCCTAAACCACCAGTACCCGGGGCACCAGTTTTTTTTCTGTGGTCATTTGATCGTGACTGGATTCGAACTTGGGCCTGTATGTCAACAGTTCGTTGGTGTACCAACTGAGGTAGGCTCATTGGTAGGGGCAGCAGTTTCGGGCATGTGTGGAGGCTGCCCCTCGGAATCTGCCAGGCTGGGGAGGGCTAGTTGCTTTTTGCACAGAACCCCCTCTAAACCCCGAGGCAGGGCTGCAGATGCCTAAGATGCCGCCGGTTTAGGGCATCGTTCGAGGGGCCTCAATCCACACTATAGAGTGACATTTGGCCAGGCTAGGGAGGGCTAGTTGCTTTTCTGGATCCCACTGCACAGAACGCCCTCGAGACACCGAGGCAGGGCTGCAGATGCCTGAGATGCTGCTGGTTTAGGGCATCGTTTGAGGGGGCTCAATCGACACTATAGAGTGACATTTGGCCGATCTGCACACCCACTTCCAAAGTCTAACTTGCCTTGTCGTCTGCTGGACACATACGGGACTCTTTTATGTGTGCAGGTCTTTTTGCGTAGCAAGGGTTTGGAGGTCACTATTGCGGGTTGCTTCTCGGGCGCCACAGAGTGACATTTGGCCGATCTGCGCACCCACTTGCAAAGTCTGACTTGCCTTGTCGTCCGCTGCGGACATATGTGACTCTTTTGTATGTGCAGGTCTTTTTGCTCAGCAAGGGTTTGGAGATCACTATTGAGGGTTGCTTCTCGGCACCTTTCAGACCCGAGCATCAGGCAGAGTTAGAGGTAAGAAAAAGGGAGGTGGAGGGGGGAAAAGATCTGTTTGTTCCTTGCATTCTTAGAAGTTATCACTCTTTCTCTCCACTATATGTAGTGATCGCCATAACTGCGTTCTCTCCGTTTCTCCCCCCCTTCCCCCCCTTCAACCTCTCTTGCTCTCTCTCTTTGTTTCCCTCCTCTCCCAGTGCCCTTCTTCCAGTGAGAGGCAGAAAGAAGACTTCGAAACTCTTCTTCCTCGTTGATGGCACAAATAGTTATCCCTTTCTCTTGGGCTACTGCCATCTCCATGTAAAGGGAAAAGAAAGAAAGTTGTCTTTGTGAAGCTTGTGCCACAAGGAGGAATGCCCTTTTCCTGTGTCTGGGTCAATTGCATGATTCACCGCCTCCTTTCTCCCAATTGTCTTCTGTAGTTGACAAAGAGAAAGAAACCTCGCGAAACAACTCGCTGCAAAGCTTGCGTTCAATTACTCTTCTTCTGTTGTTCACTGCCTAGAATTGTTAAAGTGACTGAAACTTTGCTCCGAAGCTCTCCAACCCCGCCGTATCAACCCTGCCCCATTCCCTCCCCTGTGCACCATGACCGGAAAAGGGGGCACTGAAAAGAAGAAACCAGAAAAGTTTGTTGTGTGATTTTACTATGCCTGCTCTGCTCTTTGGCAGTGGCGGTATTGTTTTGTGGGTCATTCCTGATTGGTCTTCTTTGTTCTTCCTCTCTTGTGTGATATTCGGTGGACCCTTTGTTTTTCTGCCTTATTTCCTCTCTCCCTAGTGTGGATCGTGTTTTCTTAAGGATTTTGTTGACGAGCATTATCAAGTAAAGCAATGAGAGTATGCTGGATTACTGTTTTTGTGCTTTCACCTGAGCCGGTCAACTTTTTCAACACCGGCTCTGTCTCTCTGCTGGGGACTGTTCTTCTGTCCTTGTCTCTCTTGCCTTACCTTTTCCCCTTTTCCATCCTTCCTCTCCTTCCTCTCCTTCTTTACCCCTTTCCCCTTTCTCCCCTTTTCTATCTCATTTTTGTCTCCCGCTTTCTCTCTTTCCCCTTCTCCACGTTTCCTGTTCCCTTTTGCTCAGTGCTTCATTTCTTTCCCTGCAAATTTTCTCCTCCATCCTCCCATGTGACCCCCCTTCCCTCCTTTCATCTCCTTTTAATTCCCTCTTCTCTCTCTCTCTCTCTCTCTCTCTCTCTCTCTCTCTCTCTCTCTCTCTCTCTCTCTCTCTCTCTCTTTCTCTCTCTCTCTCTCTCTCTTATGATTCTCCGTTACATTCCTTTTCCTTTCTTCCCACATAGGTACTCTCTCTCAGTGCTTGCACAGGGATGGCTTGTTTTTGGTTGCGCAGATCTGATAAGTACTTGAAATGTATCTGATAGGTACTTTGCCTATGTTTTCTTCTGGAAAAAAATGTTATGCATGCAGGCTTTGCTTTGTGCATTATTCCCAGCATCCTGTGAGCCAAGGGCGCTTTCACCTATTGTGGCAGATTTTGTCAGCCTTGTTGCATCGGAGCCGGCGAAGATTGTGAATTCGGCAAAGCTTGCAGTCTGCTCTACAGTGACTGCACTCAAGGTGCTCCCATCGTCGTTGTCCTCCTCCTCCAATTGCTGAACCCCAATTCTCAAAAACTATCCATCTATGCGTATGACCACCTTCTTATGATGATGTGTCCTGTTGTTGCTTGTCATCATGCATGAGTCTGTCAGTTGTAACTGCTTTCATAGTTATGGTCATCAATGTTTAGACTAATCAAACAAACACAAACACAAACACAATAATACTTTCGGAGATGTATCAGTGGGCAGACTCCGAAACTTTCCAGGACGTATCTGAAAGTTCTGTAAATGCATCTAGCCTCAAATCATGTTCTGGTGAAGATATCACACTGTTCGATGTTGTTAAATAACACAGCCACACGGGGTAGCACTAGCAAACAGAGATGCCAGAGCACCCGATGACGCCACCACTACCAGTAACAGAAAGATTTTTGTCACCCCCCCCAAGTGAACCGAGGTGCTTTGTAGCGAACTTTCCAAATGTCAAAAAGAGAGAGCCTTATTTCCATGGTTAAGACACAGGCGCTCGTAAAGGGGGAGGTGAATCTAGCCTATAATCCTGGGAAGATACAGGAAACATGAATTCCAAGAATCTCAAGAACTCCAAGAATTTTAACCTACAAAGACGACCAGATACAGGACACAGCAAATTCCAAACTATCCACTCAATTCCTTCTGCCAGCAAGACCCAATCTCATGCCGAAGTTTGAATAGAGTTGCCGACAGCCAATATATGATCCATATTGGACGCATAGGTTATCCGACTTATCCTCCCTCAACTTAGGAGGTCAATGGATTGGTCCTCCATTATAGCCAGATACAGTAGTAGAGCAACACAGAACATTTCTGAAAGAAAAACGCAATTGAAAACAAGCGCTGCCAATAGTCCACTACCTGTGCAACTGCTACAAACAAATCGTAATTTAACAGCAAGAAAGGCTCATAAACTGCCCATTCAGTACACCCACAGTTTGTGACGTGAACGACTCCAAGGAAATCTTCAACACTCCATGGGTGTGCAAACCAACACTGAACTCTGCCGGATGTGCTACACCCGCAGTTTGTGACGTGAATCTTCAACACTCCATGGGTGTGCAAACCAACACCGAACTCCGCCGGATGTGCAAGCCAACACTAACCCAACACTAAACTCCACCAGCACCACTAGTAGCACCCCCACCCCTGCCAGTGGGTCTCCCGCTCCCACTGGCAGCTCTGCTGCCGATAGCACTTATAAATACACAGCCAATTGGTGGTGGCACTGGGGGGAAAAAAATTTTCCTTTCTGATTTTAATTTGGAGTAAGGAAGTGAAGATTGCTCCTAAAGCCCAGCATCAGTATGACTGCCGGACTTGAAGTGACCAGAGTGTCCATTGAGCGGAAATATAAGATTGGCCAGATTTTACAAGGTTGTGACGAGTATGCACAATAGACAGGGGGGGCGGGGACACTCATCAATCCGCCACTCGCGGATTGAAACACCATCAGCAATGGTCGGTCACACCGTTGAAGTTACCGATGTGGCAATCTGGTCAACCGTGGTGTCCAGGTGAAAAATTAATCGTCCCTGCAGTTGGCCATAAGCCAAAGCTTAATGCCACCGGAGTGCAAACGGATTAGCGCAAAAAAAATAGTGCTAACCCGCGGCCGCCCTCCCTCTCCACATGGATTGTTGACATCCATCAGTGCTGACAGTTTGAGAATGAAATCAGTAGCACAAATGCGAGGTATGCCAGACAGGTTGAGACAGAAATAAAGTGGACCAGATCCGAAGTTTGCCAAACAGAAAAAAACACAAAGCGTGTCATGGGATGCAAGCCAAAGGGCAAGCTAGTAAGTTCACAGTGCAACCTACTCTGACAGGGCCATGACATTTGAGTGAAATCCATGCCATAACTAAATCCAGCCAGCTAGCAACGAGTTCAGAGGCAGTTGTCGTAGAGTCCAACGGGTCCACAGTCGGAAGGGAAGTCTTGCTGGCAATCGTTGGAGTGCATGTGGATGGGGCTGGGTGGGGTGGCGCTAGTGATTGCATCCATGTGTGTCTGTGTGCGTGCGCTGTGTGAACTATTCACTGTTTCACTAACACCATATCATCCTCCGTGTCTACCAAAGGTTAAAATCCAGTTGAAAAGGCTACTTAATTGCTTAATTATAAAGCTTTTCATTGATTAACCATGCGCTAATTAAAAATATCTCTTGAAGTATGAGATTTTTTTTGAAATAATTTCTTGATCTTCTAACCCAAGTAGCATGGGACACGGGAAATCCTGTGTGAATTTGCGAGGACCACCTYGTAAGGCTAAATACTCCTGGGTAACCGATAGCGAAAAAGTACCGTGAGGGAAAGGTGAAAAGAACCCCCATAGGGGAGTGAAAGAGAACATCTCTCTTAAATAATAGTATTAAATATGATAACTATTGGACCTATGTTATATA